ATAAATAAATAAAATCATTATTATTACATTTTAATCTCAGGGATTTAAATCATTTAAACACAGATCCAAGTCCGGGTCCAGCAGACCCCTCTCTAATCTGGACCCCCGGACCCCCCACCCTCTGATCCGGCCCTGCGGCTCGGGTCCAGGACTCACCTGAAGACCTCCCGCGCGTGGCCGCTCTCAGGTGAGGTCTCCCTGAAGAACGGGACGACCCGGGACAGACTGGCCCTCCTCCGGGACGCCCCGGTCCCTCCGGTGGACTTGTCCGCCACCCCCCCGAACCCCCCGGCCCGGGTCAGAGCCGTGGTCTGCTTCTTCAGGAACTTCTCCAGAGGTTTCATCCCGGCCGGCATGGTGGGTCTCCGGGTTTCTGGTGGTGGGCGGTGGTTCCGAGGTGCTCAGGGGGGGTGGGGGAGGGGGGGCAGCTGGATCCTACATCATCCGAACCCTGCAGGTCGGGTCTGGACAGACTGGACAGGTGTGGGCGGACCCTGTGGGTTCTGGGCTGTTGTGGATCAGCGGTCCGGGTCCATGGACGTGGTGCAGAGTCCTCCTCGGGTCTCGGWGCTCCCCCAGTCCAGAATCTGCTATAAACCGTTCGGAACCGGCCCGCTCCTCCCCCAGGCGCTCTCTGACTGCAGGAACACCGAGCTCCGGAACCGAACCGAGTCTCCGGATCCACACAGTCCGAACCCACGGTCAGAGGAACCGAGGACGTGAGGCGCAGAGCGGTACCTGCCCGGTTCTGATGGTTCGGGGCGGGCTGCTGTTCGGGTCCGGCCGATCGACGGTGGTTCTTCAGAACCCTTCCTGGCTCACCTGAGGAGGAGCCGTCCTGCTGCGTTTGGGTGCAGTCGGTTTTCTGAGCCTCCGCGGCTATCTGCGGGTTTCAGTTCGGATCCTGGTCTCGGTTCGGATGCTGCAGAGGTTCCGATGGTCCGCCAGCCTCTCGCGGTCCCCTCCTCCCACCTTTTTCTGTGGGATGAGAAGTGATGGGGAGCGTGCGCGCGCCCTCTCCGCGCGGATCTGCTGCAGTTGCGCGCACCCGTCGGGCGCGCGCAGACACGTTCCCGCTGTCAGGGTGTAAAAAAAACAAAAAACACCCTGAGGCAGAAAACTGGATTCAGAGAGTCTGAAACATCGCGAGAGTTCAGATCTAAAGAAAAACTGCAGTCTGGATCCAGGACCAGATCTGTGGGCTAGAACCGAATCCTGGCTCACAGAAACCTGACACCTGAGAACTCCTCCTGTACCTCAAGGACCTGCATGGTCCTGTAATCTGAGTCCACCTGGATCAACTGAGACCTCCTGGATCATCTGAGACCTCCTGGATCATCTGAGACCTCCTGGATCATCTGAGACCTCCTGGATCAACTGAGACCTCCAGGATCAGCTGAGACGTCCAGGATCATCTGAGACCTCCAGGATCATCTGAGACCTCCAGGATCAACTGAGACCTCCAGGATCAGCTGAGACCTCCAGGATCATCTGAGACCTCCTGGATCAGAAGAGACCTCCTGGAGTAGAGGACAACCAGTCATCTGTCAGAACTCATCAGGATCAGGTCCAGTGTCTGACCCTGTTCTGTCCAAATTTTGTCAGGAGTCTCCAGACCTTCAGGAGTCCTCCAGAGCCCCCTAATGGTTCAAAGAACATCTGCAGCAGACCCTCTGAGGTCCAGAGAAGATCTTCAGGTGGTCATAATGTAATGGCTGATGACTGCCTGTAAACAAGTTTTTAGTTTTGTTCTTTGGTTTTAAAATAAGGATCAACTTTATCTGTAGGAACACCTGAGTCACCTGACCCGAGTCACCTGACCCGAGTCACCGGGTCACAGGACCTCATCCAGCTCAGACAGAAGAAAAAACACTTTATTCTGACATCAAACCACAAACGGTTCATAAAGTTCAACAAAAAAGAAAAACAGAAAAATCTTTAAACTCAAAAAAGTTTGTTATGAAGAACAAACGACGACCCGTTCACTTCCTCCGGTTCTGGTCCAAATGTTTCACAAATAAAAACAGGAACACGTCTGCAGACACAAAATAACGTCAAACAAAAGAAACGTTGAAGAAAAAGTTCTTCTCTACATAATAACGTTCTGGTTCTGCTGATCCGATTTCATCTGAAGTTCTGATACGATCCGGTTCTCTCTGCCAGCTTGTATTTACAGCTTTAGATTTTTATTTACACCAACAGCTTCTGATGGTTCTGATCATCAGGACCGGCTCATCCACGACTGCAGGTGCCGCTCTGGAACCAGTTCTGAGCTCTAACGGACCTCCAGAACCAGACTCAGGAGAGAAGCTGAAAGATTCTGTTGTTTTTAGAATGATTTTAAACTTTAAACTCTTTATCTGATGATTAATAAATCTGTTTGAAACCGTTTTATTAGAAACCAATCAGACGTGGAACTGATGAAGAGTCTGACGATGATGATGAGCAGGTTTCAGCTCTGAACCACCTGGTTTAATCCTGGTTTAATCCTGGTTTAATCCTGGTTTAATCCTGGTGTAATCCTGGTTTAATCCTGGTGTAATCCTGGTTTAATCCTGGTGTAATCCTAAAGAACCACGTTAACCGTGTTGTGACAGAGTCAAGTCTCAAACCGTTTCCACTTCCTGTTGGATTCAGTCCGATGCTCACACTGACAGAACCAGCAGCTGCTGGTTCCACCCGTCTTAGAG